CTGCTCCGTGGGGTGGGTCGTCGTGCCCGTCGAGTCGGCCGCCCCGGTGTCCATGGGAGTCGGCGTCTCCTGATTGCTGCTGCTGCTGGCCCGTCCCAGCAGCTCCTGGGTCGCCTGGTACGCTCCCTGCTGCTTGCGTGGCGGCTTCTTGGGAGGCGTGGGCACCGGGGCAGCGGTGGCCCCGCAGGCGAACAGCAGGAGGAGGAGGAAAGTCATCCTCGCCCTCGCCATGAGCGTTGAATGCTGTTGATCGGCAAACCCGATACCGTGGTCGTGAAAGATTCTCGTCTAAACTGGCCCTGAGAAGGCTCGAGCCAAGAGCTACGGAGGAGGATAGAAGAAGGATGCCTGCGGCTACCACGAGGGCCGGCTCGTCCCACGAACCTATGTCCCTCGGGTCCGACGTCGCCTTAGCTTCCCCTGGAGATCCTAAGCTGTGACCACGCGTACTAGGGATCGTCTGAGCTCGTGGCCCGAAGAGCCGAAGAGACACGATGATGAGGCCTGTCAGGCCCTTCGTGGAAAGCCCCGGGATCTTCACGAAATAGCTTGAAATCCTAACCCTGAAGGTGCCTCTTCGAGTCCTCGAGTACTGTTGCGACCGGACATACACCGTGACGAGGAGGATGAGGAGGATGAGGAGGCCCATGTACTGGCTGATGACTCCTGCAGCCGACATCTCCTGCACGCGACTGCCCGAGAACCTAAACGAGTCAGGCGTGAGAAACGGGAATCGGTCCAGCGCGGAGGCTGGCGTCACCACTGGCTTTGGCAGTGGTTGAACGATGTCGGCCATCCTATGACCAGATCCAAGCCTGGTGAGCTGGATGTCCTTGAGCAAAGTGCCGGACTGCATGCATTTCTTCGGGAGGTCGATCACACAAGCGAGGAAATCTAATAAATTCACGCTGAGAATATGTGGTACGTCGTCTGCCAAGACCGTAGTCTCCACGATGCCCAGGACAGCACCGAGGCAGAGAGGGTAGAGTATCATGCTGATGATCTTGGCCGGGCCGCCGACTCCGTGGGCTGCCCGCGGCCTCCGGTGCTCCGGGGGCACTTCCACATACTGAAGACCGACCTGCGCTAGTGCGGCCGCCTCTCGGTTCAAGGCCGCAACGCCGATCAGGTCGCTCCCGGCCCCCGGATCCACGAGCCCCTGCGTGGCCGCCGTGACCAGGAAGACGCTGTCCTTGGTGATCTCCTCCTCAGCCCGTCGCCACGTGGCCAAGGTGTCGTTGGCCACCGGCTCGCTGCAAGTGCCCGTCTCCCAACCCGTGAACGTGTAGCCCGCGAGGTCCCGGCGGTCGCCACTCTTCGGGTTGGTATTGAGCGGACACTCACGGCTCCAGTGGCCCTTCTTGTGGCACGCGTTGCATTTCGTGATCTTCATCTGCTGCTCGATCGAAAGCTTGGGCAGTCGACTCCTCTGATCCTGCTTCTTGGGTCGACGCTCCGGCCGCTGCTCTCGACGAGGCTTGGGAGGTCCCGGAACTGCTCCGCCCGTCTTGGAGCCTGTCCCGGGTGTCCTGGGCTTGCTTCCGCGGAAATATTCTCGATCCTTCTTGGCTGCCCGCTTGAGCTCTTTATTCTGCTTCCATGTCCTGCCCACGGGCCGGGTGGCGATCATGGTGAGGGCACTCTCCAGCTGGTCCTCGTACAAGTCAAGGTCCTCTAGTTCAGCCACCAGCATCACCTCGTCGATCTCCTGGTCGTCGGCATCCTCGTTATCCTCGGAGTCGGTGTCCCCGTCGTCCTCGGAATCCTCACCGCCTTCGGACCGAACCGGGTATGAGGAGGAGTGGGGATGCTGCTCAAAAGATCCACGCTCGCCTCCGACGCCGGGAGCTTCGTCCTCGGCGTGGGCGACTAGCATTGATCCCGTCCTACCAGGCAAAAGCCGCTCACCTCCGCCTGAATCCATCTGTCGGAGCGCCCAGCTGACACTCTGGTAGTCGAGTTTGCCCTGGGTAAGTGTGCGTAAGTTCTGGGTGCCCTGGGCGCTGAGCCCGGCACCCTCTTCCAAGAGAAGACCTTTCAACTTCGACGATAGCCACATGTCGTTCCCTTCGGCGTCGGCGAGCTGTGCTTCCCGACGGCTGACATACTGTACCAAGCTCTCCTTTGGCTCGCGAGAAGCCTCGAAGAGCGCCTTTCTACCTGACCGTCGAAGTTCATCGCCCTCTCTCTCTCCAGTCCAGAGGTCCATTCGCTTGAGGACCGTCTCGATCCAGTCAGCTCCCGTGAGGACGTTCTCCGGGATGTCATCGAACTTGGACTGGGTGTTCCAATCAAACAGTTTCAGGAATTTTTCAGCCCGGCGCCAGGTCGGCACGTCCGTGTTCTTGTTCCATCGCATCAGTGCCTTGCGCCAGGCCCTGTAATGTCCCCAGCCGGGCCAGGCGGGTGGGTCCGAGTAGTCGCCCTTGGCCGACCAGCTCGAGGCGCGCCAGTCCCCGGACCAGCTGTCCCAGGCGCTCTTGGCCGCCCAGGTGTCGCCCCAGCTCTTCTCGTCCCACGTCGTCTGGTCGTCCCAGCTCTTGGACTGGTCCCAGTTCTTCTTCTGGTCCCAGTCGCTGTCTTGCCATCTGTCCTTGTCTGCTGCTGCTGTGGAGCTGCGCTGCGTATTCCAGGGATCCTGGGATGACCAAGGATCCTGGTGCCCCTCCTTGCAGGATGTCGCCGTAGGTGCTGGTGTCGCCGTCGCCTTCATAGTGTCTCGCACTATCCCGGCGACCAGGTTCACCAGCTCCTCCTGCGTCATGCCGGCCGTGCCGCCGGCCGCCTGCGCCCCCGCGCCGGCGCTCGCGCCTTCAGCCGGGACCCCCTGGCCTTCGGCGCCCTGCTCAGAGAAGCCGTTGTGACTCGTTCCTGCCTTCCCCTTGTCCCCCATGCCGTGGTGCCACGCCAGTCGACTGCGAGAGCAGCGGCTGCCTCCCGACCGTTAAGCACTCATGCGGGCGCGCCGGCTAGAGCCCGCCCGAGGAGCACCTGTGGTCCGGGAGGGTCCACTGCTCCGCTACCAACTGTGGCAGCAGCAGTGACCCCGAGATGGTTTTTGGACTTGAGCCATATCGGCGAAGGAACGGAAATCCAAAGTGCTGAACCTAAACGACGAAATCTGGGCACCAGTCACATCAGGGCATCGTCAAGCGTCCGCAGACCCCCGGAGACCTCAAGATGGGGACCTCAAGAGACCCTCGGGGTCCGCCGAGACCTCCGGAGGCCAAGATATCCGACGAGGAAAAAACAGTCGCGACAGAGGTTGTTGCATCGTCATCATCATCATCAGCATCATCATCATCATCATCATCATCATCATCATCATCATCATCATCATCATCATCATCATCATCATCATCATCATCATCATCATCATCATCATCATCATCATCATCATCATCATCATCATCATCATCATCATCATCATCATCATCATCATCATCATCATCATCATCATCATCATCATCATCATCATCATCATCATCATCATCATCATCATCATCATCATCATCATCATCATCATCATCATCATCATCATCATCATCATCATCATCATCATCATCATCATCATCAGCATCAGCATCAGCATCAGCATCGTCATCATCATCATCATCATCATCATCATCATCATCATCATCGTCATCATCATCGTCATCATCATCATCAGCATCAACATCAGCATCAGCATCAGCATCAGCATCAACATCAGCATCAGCATCAGCGTCAGCATCATCATCAGCATCAGCATCATCATCAGCATCAGCATCATAAACATCAGCATCATCAGCATCAGCAGCAGCAGTATCATAATCATCATCATCAGCAGCACCATCATCATCAGCAGCATATCATCATCACCACCACCATAATCATCATCATCATCATCACCAGCATTGTCATCATCATCATCATTATCATCATCATCATCATCATCATCATCATCATCATCATCGTCGTCAGCATCACCACCACGATGTCATCATCTTCACCACCACCACCACCAACAACAACACGATCATCATCACGATCATATTTATGATCCTCCCCATCACCCATACCAACACCATCATCAACATCACTATCACCACCACAATCGCCATCGTCATCTTCAACGTCGTCATCATAGTCGTTGTCGTCGACATGTCCTATGGTCGTCATGATCCTGTTCATCGCCATCATGGTTATCAGCATTGAGATCCCCCGCATCGCCATCATGTTCCTACATATGATGTCCCATCATACCTCAATATCATCATCGACCTCCTCCGATCCTACAAGGACGGGCAGAGATCAGACGACGCGCAATGGCTTCTGACGGCTATGCGCAAAAAAACATACAACCTCATCACCGGCTGAAATGCATCAATCAAGATCCAAACAGCATCGGAAGCCGGTGGCAGAAAGCCTTTCCAACACCTCCGAACAACTTCCAACAACGTCATCCTTCTCCTCGCCACCATCACTTTCAGACCATCACCATCGCGTAATCACATCATCGTGGCCATCGTCGACGCTCAATGCTCACCCCATCTCGCCCCCATCATCACTCTCCCCTTGACCCCCACGTTCCTCCTCGACCGATCACACAGGGAACTGAGAATACTCGACGATTACAACAGAAAGGCCAGAAAACTATTACTTATTCCGTCGGCAGCGAAGCAGAGGCAGTCCGCTCCAGCGTGTGGCTATTCGGGGCAACCGAAAGGCAAATTGTCCGGCGCGCAAGAGGGAGGAAACAAGGCGGGGGCGGCCGCGCGGGGGCAGGAGGAGGGGGAATCGCTGAACCTAGACCATAAACATGCGAGAAGCCAGAAAACTCAAAAAGATATATATATATATATATAAAAAAACCTTGCACAACCCCCGCACAATCCCTTGCACAACCCTGCACAACCTTGCAGCAACCCCCTTGCAGAACCCCCTTGCGCAACACCCCCGAAAGCTTTTTTCCCTCCATAACATTGCACGCGAGACCCTTTCAGGGTGGCGGCGGCGGCCTCAGCAGCCCCTCGTGGAGCGAGATGCGCGTCGACACCATGGCGGCCAGAAACTCCGAATAGTGGATCCTGCGGCGAGGGCGCCCGGCACTCGTTGGAGTCGTCGTCGGCGGCAGCAGTGCCGGCGTGTGGACAAAGCAGCGTCGTCGGCGGCGTCGTCGTCGGCAGCGGTGTCGGCGTGCGGTCAAAGCAGCGTCACCGTCGGCGTCGTCGTTGTCGGCGTCGTCGTCATCGGCAGCGTCGGCGTCGTCGGCGTCGTCAGCGACGGGGACGGAGGGAAAGGAGGAGGGAGGAGGGAAGAAAGAGTGAGGTCCTGGAGGTCCGCTCAGGCGGTTCCTTGTCGGAGCCGCAGGGGCCGCGACGAAGGGAAGAGGAAACGAGGGAGGAGGGAGGCAGGGAGAGGAAGGTAGAGATGACGGAGAAGGGAGCAGGAAGATGAGGAGGGAGGGAGAGAGGGAGGGAGGAGGACGGAGGAGGCGGAAGAGGGAGGAGAAGAAAATGACGGAGGAGAACGGAGGGAGGCAGGGAGGAAGAAGATCCGGAGGATGGCTCCCAATACGCACCCTCCATATATTTAAGAGTGCCTGCGAGGCTTCCGTGGGGTTCAGAGGGGCAGGAGGGATGAGGAAGCAGAGGAAAGAACAGCATTCGCTCCGCGAAGAAGAAGAAGAAAAGGGGAGGACAGAGGGGAGTTTGTCGAATATGAGTTCACTTCACTTCCATATGATTCCGACAACTTTCGGAAGTTTCACTGGTTTTTGTCCCAACCATCCTGTGGTGTTGGGTCCTCGTTTTGAAGAAACGGCCCCCGCGTCTCCTCTCCTCTCCTCTCCTCTCCTCCTCCTCCTCCTCCTCCTCCTCCTCTCCTCCTCCTCCTCCTCCTCCTCCTCCTCCTCCTCCTCCTCCTCGCGCCTCGTCCTCCTCCTCCTCCTCCTCCTCCTCCTCTCCTCCTCCTCCCTCCTCCTCTCCTCCTCCTCCTCCTCCTCCTCCTCCTCCTCCCTCCTCTCCTCCTCCTCCTCCTCCTCCCCTCCTCCTCCTCCTCCTCCTCCTCCTCCCTCCTCCTCCTCTCCTCCTCCTCCTTCCTCCTCCTCCTCCTCCTCCTCCTCCTCCTCCCTCCTCCTCCTCTCCTCCTCTCCTCTCCTCCTCCTCCTCATCCTCCTCTCCTCCTCCTCCTCCTCCCTCCTCCTCCTCCTCCTCCTCCTCCTCCTCCTCCTCCTCCTCCTCCTCCTCCTCCTCCTCCTCCTCCTCCTCCTCCTCCTCCTCCTCCTCCTCCTCCTCCTCCTCCTCCTCCTCCTCCTCCTCCTCCTCCTCCTCCCACCATCATCATCGTCATCACCCATTTCGGCACACCCCTCACACGTTTCGCGGCCCCATAGGGAGCTCCACCGAAGGTCCCACTGGGTGTGCCCGCATGCGTCCCGCACACCCATTTCGGCACACCCTTCGCACGCTTCGTGGCCCCATAGGGAACTCCTCCGATGGTCCCAGTGGGTGTGCCCGCATGCGTCCCGCACACACATTTCGGCACACCCCTCACACGCTTCGTGGCCCCATGGGGAGCTCCACCGAAGGTCCCAGTGGGTGTGCCCGCATGCGTCCAACGCACCCATTTCGGCACACCCTTCACACGCTTCGTGGCCCCATAGGGAGCTCCACCGAAGGTCCCAGTGGGTGTGCCGCAAGCGTCCCGCACACCCATTTCGGCACACCCCTCACACGTTTCGTGGCCCCATGGGGGGCTCCACCGAAGATTTCAGTGGGTGTGCCCGCATGCGTCCCGCACACACATTTCGGCCCACCCCTCACACGCTTCGTGGCCCCATAGGGAGCTCCACCGAAGGTCCCAGTGGATGTGCCCGCATGAGTCCCGCACACCCATTTCGGTACAACCTTCACACGCTTCGTGGCCCCATAGGGAGCTCCACCGAAGGTCCCAATGGGTGTGCCCGCATGCGTCCCGCACACCCATTTCGGCACACCCCTCACACGCTTCGTGGCCCCATGGGGGGCTCCACCGAAAGTCCCAGTGGGTGCGCCCGCATGCGTCCCGCACAAACATTTCGGCGCACCCCTCACACGCTTCGTGGCCCCATAGGGAGCTCCACCCAAGGTCCCAGTGGGTGTGCCCGCACGCGTCCCGCACACGCACTTCGGCACACCCCTCACGCGCTTCGTGGCCCCATAGGGAGCTCCACCGAAGGTCCCACTGGGTGTGCCCGCATGCGTCCCGCACACCCATTTCGGCACACCCCTCACGCGCTCCGTGGCCCCATAGTATAGGGAGCTCCACCGAAGGTCTCAGTGGGTGTGCCCGCATGCGTCCCGCACACACATTTCGGTCCACCCCTCACACGTTTCGTGGCCCCACAGGGAGCTCCACCGAAGGTCCCAGTGGGTGTGCCCGCATGCGTCCCGCAAACCCATTTTGACACACGCTTCACACGTTTCGTGGCCCCATAACGAGTTCCACCGAAGGTCCCAGTGGGTGTGCCCGCATGCGTCCCACGCACCCATTTCGGCACATCCCTGACACGTTCCGCGGCCCCATAAGGAGCCCAACCGAAGGTCCCAGCGGGTGTGCCCGCATGCGTCCCGCACACCCATTTCGGCACATCCCGCACACGCTTCGTGGCCCCATAGGGAGCTCCACCGAAGGCCCCCGTGGCGCAGTCCGCTTGCGTCTCCCCCACCCAGCACACTTCCGCCGGAGGCCGTCGGAGTTCCGCGCCTCGCTCGCCCGTCGTCGCTCTGCCCAGCGACAAGAGCCTTGCCCGCTATCAGCCAGCCAGCTAGCTCTTTTTGTTGCGCGCAGCGGACGACCCGCGCGCGTCGCTGGGACCCCTCTGGGGCGACCTGCGCGCGTCGCTGGGACTCCGCGCTGCGCTGCGCCCGTAGCTTTGGACTTTCGAGTGCGCGGGCAAAGAGGGAGTAAAAGAAGGGGAGGAAGCTGGCGCGATCCTCGCGGTGGCGTCGCGGCGCGCGGGCGATGCCGTCGGGGAGCCCCGGGGAAGCTCCTTGCGGCGGCCACGCCCAGCGTCACGAGTACTCAGAGGCAGTCGCTCACAAACTATTAGCATTCATCTACAATTGCACCATGCATTGGCATACTCGCATTCACGCACGTAGACTCGCTCGCACGCAGATTATTCACAGTCAGACGCACTCGCGCTCAGATTCACCCGCGCTCAGTCTCCCCACGCACTCAGATCAATCGTTTTCGTTCGCGTCGTGTACCACGCCACTCATTTCGGCACACCCCTAGCACGGCTCGTTGCCTCATAGGGATCACCACCGAAAAACGGAATCACAATTGCGGTACTCACACCTGCATATGGTTGGGTTCTTCGTCAGGCCAATTTCGGATATCCAGAATCACCTGTTGAAAGATCTCGGGTACTTTCGGGCAAAGGGGAGGACGAGGACGAGGGGGGAGGAGCGAGAACGTTTTTTGGGGGGTCCACCTCGCCCCGGCCTCCGCCTCCGCCTCCGCCCCCCTCACTCCTCCACGTTTGAAGCGAAATCATATGTATGCGTTCCCTCCGCCCTCACCCCCGACCCTCAAAAGAGATCTACGAAGCAAGTGGAAACACCCAGAACGCACACCCACACGGGGACACGCCACCGGCCCCCAAACCTCTCCCAGAGCGCGTCCTGACCAAGATTCGACGCGCGCCCAGCCGTGGCGACGAGGGCGCTCCAGGAGGTCCAAGAGGGAAAAGCGGCCCAAACACATACAACCCTCTTCCTCGATCCCCTATCGACGACGACGACGACGACGACGACGGCGACGACAACAGCAACGGCGAAGACGACCCCAAAAATCTCGGCCGCTTTCCTGAGGCCCGAGACCGGAGGAGGAGGAGGAGGAGGAGGAGGAGAAGGAGAAGGAGGGGCCCGAGACCGGAGGAGGAGGAGGAAGAGGAGGAGGAGGAGGAGGAGGCGGAGGAGGCCGAGAAAAAAATCGGGAAGCGAGCTCGACCGAGCGATCGGCGGCGCCGGCGAGGCCACCGGTCGATCGGCCCACTTCGCCGATGACCGGTGCCTCCTCCGATCGGCAGCGAACGTCGAGCTCGGGCCGACTGACAGCTGCTCGAGGTCTGGACGCCCCTCGGACTTAGTCGGGAGACTCTCCATGGGATCCCCAGGGGATCCTATGGGATCTCCCCCCCTGGGATCCTACCCCCCCATGGGATCCCCCCCCATGAAGAGTCTCCCGACTTCCTACCAGAACACCCCAGCCCAACCCAACCCGAAGACCCCAACCCAACCCGAAGACCCGAATTTCGGGTTGGGGGGGGGGTACGGGCTCCAACTGGAAATGGAGGGCAAATCTGAGCCTTCGGGTTGGGTTGGGGTGGTTTGGTGGGTGGTGACTGACGGCTGCTTGAGGTCTGGACGCCCCTCGGACTTAGTGGGCCCTGGAAACGACAGGGCCGTTTTTTCACTGGTTCCGATTTGCCGTTTTCCTGCCGGTTCCGACGCCGTTTTTGTTGCCAGTTCCGTCGCCGTTTTTGCTGCCGTTTCCGGCCCCGGCTCCAATCCTGGAGCCCTTTTTGTGGCCGTTTCCGGTCGCCGTTGTTTTCGGAAACGGTGAAAAAACGGCCCTGCCGTTTCCGGGGCCCACTCAGCCCTCGGAGTGTCCTGCTTACGCGGGAAACCGGACAGCTCGGTCGATGATCCATTGATCGGTCGATCGTCGGCGGCGCCGAGCGCGCCCAGCGTGGGCCGCGCTCCTGTGGTCGTTGCACGCGTCCAGCGCGCGGAACACGGCGGCCACGTCCTCGTCGCTCAGCTCGAACCTGAGGAGGGCGCTGGCTACACAGTCAAGCGGAAGGAACGGCAAACGCGGAACTGCGAAGCAGGGATTGGTCCATATCGGCCGCCCGGGACCGACGTCCGTGCGACCCAGCGGGCGGTGGATATGGATGTATGTCAGCCCATGGGGCGCGTGTACATATAGTATTATTGATATAAAAAAAGATCTCCTTATTATGGCTAGTATTACAAATATCCATACATACACACCCAGATAAGCATACAGTAATGCATACATGTATACAGACAGACATGCATGCATGCATACATACATGCATACATGCATACAAAACAATGTTCCATTCATACATACATGCATGCACACAGCATACATGCATATAGACATGACATACATGCATGCATGCATACATGCATGCATACATGCATACATGCATGCATGTATATATACATGCATACTGACATGAATGCATGCATACGTATACATATATACATACATACATACATACATACATACATACATACATACATACATACATACATACATACATACATACATACATACATGCATGCATGCATGCATGCATACATACATACATACATACATACATACATACATACATACACTCATGCGTGCATGCATGCATACATACATACATGCATACATACATACATGCAGGCATGCATGCATGCATGCGTGCATGTATGCATACATACACATATACACATACACGCATACATACACGCATAGACACATACGTACATACATGCATACGTACATACCTACATACATACATGCATACATACACATATACATACATACATACATACATACATACATACATACATACATGCATGCATACATACATACATACATACACACACACATACATACATACATACATACATACATGCATGCATGCATGCATGCATACATACATACGTACATGCATACATACATACATACATACATGCATACATGCCAAAACCATCGCGCGCGCTTCGCGCGCGCTCAAATTCTTGCTAGCTGGAAGGATAGCGCGTAGCCGAGGGAAAAAGAGAGGCCAGCAGTGGCAGGCAACCTGGTCGAATTAGCCACGATTGCGTCCTTCGTCCGTCGTCTTTCGTCCGTCGTCTGTCGTCGTCGCCACCCCCGTCGCCGTCGTCTGCGTCGTCCTCTGTCGTCCGAGGCGCTCTTCATGGCCAAGGCTGGCTTCGCCTCGAAATTCTTGTCCAAACGCACCCCTGGGCCTCGCAGCTTTTGTTTTGCATCTTGGGCTGTCTGGGAAACCTTTTGGGCGTCTCGGGAGCGTGGGGGGGGGGGGGTCTTGCGAGTTACGTGGGGCTTCCTGTTGGGCTTCCGGGAGCCCAGGGCTGGAAATGTCCGTTCGGCCCCCGCCTGGACCGCTGGGCTCTTGGGGGCCTCTGTCCGGCCTCCTGGATGCTGCTTTGGGCCGCTTGGGGGCCTCCTAGGGGCCTCTTGGGCTCTCTTGGAGGCCTCTTGGGACCTCCTCGGAGCATCCTGGACTGCTTCCTGAAGTCGTCATGGGACCTTCTCGGCACGTCTTCGGGGGCCTCTTAGAAGGAGTTTTGAAACTTTTTGGGCGCCGTCTTGGGGCATCTTGGAGCCTCGTTTGGGCTTCTTAGGGCCTCTTGGGGCCTCTTGGGGCCTCTTGGGGGCTTCCTGGGGGCCTCTTGGGGCCTCTTGGGGGCATCTTGGGGCGGAGAGCTTGATTTTTCAGTTCGCGTTCCCTCTCTTGGGCCCCTCTTGGGGCCTTCTTGGGGCCTTCTTGCGCCGTTTTGGGCGGCTCTGGGTGTTTCGGGGCTCTCTTGTTGGGCCGTCTTGGGGCCCTCTTGGGGTCCTCTTGGGCCGTCTTGGAGCGGTCTTGGGAGCCTCTTGGGCGGTGCTGTAGCGCCGGAAACACGAAACAGCGAAAATGCAAAAGAACATTCAAAAACACAATGAAAATCAACGATTTTGCCCTCTCGGGGCGGTCTTGGGCGGCATCTTAAAGGCCTCTTGGGGCGTCTTGGGGGCTTCTGGGGCAGAAAACACATCGTGCGTCGACAGAGATCCCTGGAAGGCGTCTTAGGGGTGTCTCGAGACCGTCTGGGGCCGCCAGGATTGCTGTCTTAGGGCTCCCCGGTACGATTTTAGGCATCCGAGAGGCGGGCCTGGGCCCCTGCACACACACATACACACACACAGAGACTTGTGGTAAAGGTCGCGGCCCTGGGGGCCCCCGTGCGCCGTTATATGTATACATACGTACATACATACATACATACATACATACATACATACGTACGTACGTACGTAAGTACATGCATGCATGCATGCATGCATGCAGACAGACAGACAGACAGACACACAGACAGACAGACAGACAGGCCTACATTACATCACACCACATGGCATTACATCTAATTCCATTACATTACATTACATTACATTACATTACGTTACGTTACATTGCATTACATTACATTACATTACACTACATTGCAGTACACGGCATCCCATGACAATATATGACATTGCATTACATTACAAATCATTGCATTACAATACGCTGCATTACAATACATTACAGTACATTACAACACAACACAATACAGTAAAAATATGTGTATATATAAATGTATGTACGTATGTAAGTAAGTACGTATGTTTGTTTGTATGTTTGTTTGTATGTATGTATGTAGGTATGTATGTAGGTAAGTAAGTATGTAGGTAAGTACGTAAGTAAGTAAGTAAGTAAGTACGTATGTATGTATGTATGCATGCATGTATGTATGTATGTATGTATGGATGTATGTATGTATGTATGTTTGTATATATGTATGTATGTATGTGTTTGTGTGTATGTATGTATGTATGTATGTATGTATGTATGTATGTATGTATGTATGTATGTATGTATGTATGTATGTATGTATGTATGTATGTATGTGTATCCACGTCCACCGCCTCCGAGGTCTCCGAAAATCGATCCTCCAGGCGGTGGGTATGTAATAAATCCCGCCTCAGAGGAACCAAGCCCCGTTTCGGCCCCAAGGGGGCCTGGGTGCACTAGGAGCTACTCCAGCGCCTTGATGGCATGCTCGGATCGATCCTGCTGCCAGGCCCTTCCTGCGTCCAAGGCAGTAGACGCCGTCCTGGCCTGGCCAGCAAGGCATTTGGACCGATCATGGGCCTTCCAGGGCCGCCATGCACGCTCACGCACGCAGTCAGCGCGCAGCGTATGCGGGAAGGCGCCGACCTGAGCAGGTCGTCAAGCTGCTCTGCTACACGCTCGACCTGAGGCCGTCGTCAAGCTGACCCAACCTCAGCAGGACGTCGAGCTTCCCTAGATAGCTCGCGCGAACGCCCTGCCTGCGCCCCAGATCAGCCCGGCAAGGGTCGAAGTTACGTGTACAGTCGGCGCCCTCAAAGAAGCCCCTACCGTGGCCCCCCCAAGCCAATCGAAATACCAAGAATTACCCATCGAGGCCCAAAGATGCCCACACGATGGGCGCCAGAAGCACCGAGATGGCCCCAAGGTGGCTCGAAGGTGGCTCCAAAGCCTTCAAAATGTTTCCAGAAGGCCCCAAGATGGCCGGCCCAAGATGGCACCAAAACGGTCACAACATCCGCCGCCCCATGGCACGTTGAGGCGTGGTAGAATACCAAATGCTGTATGGTAGGACGCTATAATATTCCATACAAGAAACCACCCCATCTCGACGCGCTTCGCTGCGCCCCCCCTCTCCCTGGTTAGACATGAACCGGGCACGACCCCAATTACGTGGGGGGCCTTCTATTCCCCAAAGCAATCTAAAGCAGTTCTAAGCAGTGCAGAGCAAGAACATGCAGGACAGCGCTGCATTGCTTGGCATTGCTTGGCGTTGCGTGACATTGCTTTGAATACTTGTTTTTCATTGCTTGGCATTGCCTGGTATCACGTGGCAGTTATCGGCACTGCCTGGCGTTGCTTGGAATTGTTTGGCAGTATTAGAATATGGCTTAGCATTGCTTCGCATTTCTTGTCATTGTCTGGCGTCGCTTGGCATTGCTTGGCTTTGCTTGGCATTGCTTGGCATTGCTTGGCGGTGCTTGGTATTGCTTGGTTTTGCGTGGCATTGTTTGACGTGTCTTGGCACTGCGTCGGATTACTTGGCACTGCGCAGCCGGGCAACCTGGGCAACTGGGCAGCCCCGAGCAACCCCGAGAGGCGCCAGGGCAACATGGCAATCCGAGGAATCCTGGGGGGCCGTCGCACCCACAGGTTTCTCTGACTGGCAAGAAAGAGGCCCTTGGGCAAAGCCTAAATGGGGAATGATTGGTCCGAGCTCCCGAGGACAACCCCTCGCATGCAAAAACAGTGAGGGCGCGTTAAAACTTCGCTCGCCATGACAAGCTCCCGCAAAGGGAGTCTCTGAAACTGGCCCACCCAAACAACAAATCCAGAGGCCCACTCCGAAACCAGGGGACGCGCCCCTCCAACCCTTCCCCTGGCGCAAGGGGAGGGGGGTTCGAACCCCCCTCCCCCCACCTCGCCGCCGGCAGACGACGACGACGACGACGACGACGACGACGACGACGACGACAGCAACGACGGCGACGACGACGACTACGACGACGGCAACGAGGACGACGTCGACGACGACTGCACTCTTCTCTTCGAGGAACGACCCCCGGTCTCAGCACCGCGCGCTCAGCCCGACGCCCCGCCGACGCAACCAGCGGTGCGGGCACCGCACACCGTCCTTGAGGTTTCCAAGAGCGCCCGGAGGGGGCGCGGCGCCTGGACTCGAGGACCTCGCGGAAGGCCGCGAGCGTGATCGTGCCCTCGCGGGCCACGTCCAGCTCCTCTTGGGCGGCGCCGGACCAGGGGACGACAACGGCAGTGTTTCCCTTCCCCCGTACAACTCCATTTCTTCCTCCTCTTCCGCCGCCATCATCGACAACAACAACATCAGCATCAGCATCGTCATCATCATCATCATCATCATCATCATCATCACCACCACCACCACCACCACCACCACCACCCCGCCACCACCATCCTCCTCCTCCTCATGCATATCCTCATCCTCATCCTCATCCTCATCCTCATCCTCATCCTAGGTATCCTCCTCAATGTAGTCATAATCAGCATCATCATCGTCATCATCATCATCAGCATCATCAGCATCATCATAATCAGTATCATCAACATCATCAGCAGCAGCAGCAGCGTCACCATCACCATGCTAATAATAATAATAAATAATAAACATCATCATCATCATCATCATCATCATCATCATCATCATCATCATCATCATCATCATCATCATCATCATCATCATCATCATCATCATCATCGCCACCACCACCACAACCACCACCACCATCATCATCATCATCATCATCATCATCATCATCATCATCACCACCACCACTACCACCACCACCACCCTCCTCCTCCTCCTCCTCCTCCTCCTCGTCCTCCTCCTCCTTCTCATCCTCATCATCATCAGAATCATCATCATCAGCATCATCATCAGCAGCATCAGCATCAGCATCAGCATCATCATCACCATCACCATCATAATGATCATCACCACCACCACCACAACCACAACCACCACCAGCATCACAATCATCAGCATCATCATCCTCCTCATCATCAGCAGCAGCATCATCGTCATCATCATCAGCAGCAAAATCATCACCATCATCATCATCATCATCATCATCATCATCATCAACAGCAGCATCACTGTCATCATCAGCATCATCATCAGTATCATCAGCATCATCATCCTGTGAATCGGGGTCACACGCATACTCATCGCCCTCGTCGCCACCATGATGGTGATCGGCATCATCATCAGCAGCAGCATTATCATAGCTTCCTTGTTCATCATCAATAGCATCATCAGCATCATCGGCATCATCCGCATCATCAGCATCATCAGCCTCACCATCCTCATCATCATCACCATCATCCTCATCAGCATCATCAGCATTATCAGAATATGCATCATCAGCATCATCAGCATCATCATCAGCAGCAGCATCATCATTATCGTGTTCGTCGTCGTCGTCATCGTCAACGTCATCATCGTCATCGTCGTCGTCATCGGGATCGACATCGACATCGTCATCGTCGCCGCCGCCGCCATACTGTTTCTTCTGCTCCTCCTGTTCCTCCTCCGCCTCCTCCTCCTCCTTGTCCTCCTCCTTGTCCTCCGCCTCCTCCTCCTCGCCCGTATCCAATCTGGCTCCAGTTCGAAACGCTCCGCCTGGCGCGCTGCCAAGAGGGCAACGCTCGAGCACCCTGCGGGGCACGGGGCCTCCGCTCGGAGGGCGCCACCACGGGCGCGGCTCGCGCCTGCCGCCCTACGGGGCCGCCACCGCCATAGCCGAGGCGCGCAGCTGCTGCTGCTCGCCACCCTCCGCGCGGGATCATGGCGCCGCCCGAGTTGGTTCTGGGCAAGAGGGGTCTTTCGGAATGGGGTCGCATACTTAGCGGGCCCTGGAAACGACAGGGCCGTTTCTTTACCGGTTCCGTTTTGCCGTTTTGTTGCCAATTCCGACGCCGTTGCTTTACCGGTTCCGCCGCCGTTTTTTGACCCGTTCCGGCTCCGGTTCCAATACTGGAGCCTTTTTGTTGCCGTTTCGGGTCGCCGATGTTTTTGCCGTTTCCATTTTCAAGGGGCATTTGTTTGGAAACGGTGAAACACCGGCCCTGCCATTTCTGGGGCCCACACAGGTCGCATAGACAGAATGCAACGGTTCATCCTGTGGCGCGCACGGCGCGTGGCAGCCACGTCTTGATATTGCACGAGGAGCGTATCCCGCACGAACGACTGCACGAACTATTGCGTACATGTTCGAGACACCCTCTGCAAAGGACCCATTAGCCCGAATCCGACCAAGGCCAAGCCAGCTGCCGCCGACGCTCGAAACGCCGGCCGAAGCTAGATGGTCTGCAAGCACCCGTCGCGCGGCGGATGGTCATGGCAAGATCTGGGACACAAGCATTGCGGCAAATGTTGTGCAGCATTCGGTCGCTTAGCAGAAGCAACAGCTCTCTTCCTCAGCGACGCCTCAACGCAGCAGCTCGAGAAGCAATCGATGGACCCGCAGGGGTGTTCACTTCGATGTCGACGAGGCGCCAGCTGAACTCGACCAGCCAGAAGGGGATAGAAGTGCTGGGCCTGATCCGGCAGACCCTACCCACATATTCGCGGCAGCCGTCAACTTCTGGCGCAAGCTTGTCAGAGTTGGTGGACCCCAATGCAAGCAGGCGTGCGAGGAGCTCAAGATTGAGAAGTCAAAGTCCCTGCCCAGCAAGTCGCCTGACCAGCAAGGCCAGAGTATCACAGACCAGCTCAACGTTCAACGTCAGCGCCTCGCAGGCAAGCAGAAGGATGCGAGCTGGTACCTCGAACAGATCGAGAAGCACACTGAGAAGAACCAGACCGCCGCGGCCGAGTGCAACAACATCCTCAGCGAGACCCAGCAGCCCAGGAGCCAGCTCAAGGTAGCGGCCAGGGCGGCGGCGCTTCAGGCTGGCGATGGGTCCGACGAGGAGGTCAATAAGCAGGCCACGCTCGAAGAGCTCGCCTTGGCCAAGCTTACCAATAGTGCCGCCCTCAGCCAGCAGTTCGAGAGCGACCTGGACATCATGGCCAGCCCCGTGCTTGACTGCTGCAGACCTCCGTCGTCCCTCCTCTCTCGTGGCCCGACGCCACCGCCCGTCGTCGCCGTGGCCTGGCGCCGCAGCCTGGTGACGAGATGGGGCGGGCGAACGGGGGATCGCTGGAGCACAAGCCGCTGGACAAAGACCCCTGCCGAGTCTCTGCAAGCCCCCACCCTCCTCCTCATCCTCCTCCTCCTCCTCCTCCTCCTCCTCCTCCTCCCCCTCCTCCTCATCCTCCTCCTCCGGAGCCCGTTTGTGCGTTGCTTCGGTCCAAGGGATTTCGTTCCCCCCAGTGGCGGTCGACCGCCTTGGCCTATGTGGGCCGAGATTTTTGGACTCAGGACAAAGTGTGGCGTGCAGGGTACACCGACGACCGCACGTGCCAGCAGTGTGCAGCGGAAGTAGGTTGCCAGCATCATCGGTTTGCTAAGTGCCCAAGGCACCATGCATTGCGCAACCAAGTTGCAGCCGAGTGGGGCCTCCAGGGGATCATGCATCGTTTCGAGTCCTCCGAGCCTGGGTCTCTCCTCTTCTCCCGCGGCATCGTGGAGCATCCCCCGGAGGACCCTTTCTCAGATCTCGTCCCCGCCCAAGATGAGCTGGGCCCGTATATGACCCCCCCACTCTGCCATGGCCGAGCCTACTCAGACGGCTCGGGACGGGGGCCGCCAGGGCTAAAGAGCTATGGGTGGGGGGTACTTCTTTTTGGACGATGGCGGCTCGGTTGTCAGGGCCATGCATGGCTCACTTCCTGGCCCACGTTTCCTGGGAGCTGTTTTGAAGGCTGAGATTTTCGGCCTCATGAAAGTTCTCGAAGTGGCCACCCCTCCCATCTGTGTTGGCAGTGACAATGCTACTGTCATCAGGGGCCTGCGTAGAGGCCAGAGGTGGTGCTGCCGAGCATCTCGCCCGCATGCCGATTTGTGGACTAGAGAATGGCTTCTCCTAGGGGAAAGCTTCGCTGACCACGGCGCTTTTCCTTTTGCGAAGGTGCGGGCCCACTCCAGAGGCCCAGCCGATGAATCGCACGACGCGTTTCTGGATTTCCAAAGGAACCAGCTCGCCGACGCCGAGGCCAAGGCAGGAGCTGACTTGCAGGCGGTCCCCCAGTGGATGAGCGCCAATTAGACCTCCCGATCGGCCGAGGTCCAGGGGGTGCTCGGACTGGTGGCTGGGATGACGGCGTCGGCGGGGGAGTTGGACGATTCCACTGGGGGACCTGCCACTGTTGCTCGACCCCGCCGCCGCCGATTCCCCCTGGTTCCACCCCCCACTCCCTCCTCAAAGCACGTGGCGCGTGGCGTTGCACCGTGTGCTGCCGCTACGCACGCACCCTGCGTGCCAAGCGAGCGTTGGCACAAGCACCGTGTGCGAGGAGGCGCCTTGTCGACCCTCGCTGGGTCGCCCCAGAGGGGGAGGAGGAGTTCAAGGTTCCAGCCGCTCTCCGCGGCGAGGCCTTGGGGCATGAGCTCCATCGTGCAGGCCGATACACCTACTGTGCACGCTGCGGGGTTTTCACGAGCGAGAGGGGGTGCAAAATGGTTGCCGCCTGCGGGACGCATCCTGCCAACCCGACGGCAGCGTACCGCCTCTCGCTCCTGGCCCGAGCGAAGCATCCTTACCGAGTGCAGCTCGCTCTCGAGGAGGCGTCCCGTTCCCTGCTCCCTTGGGAATGCGACGCCTTCTGGGGGCGAGCGTTCTGACCCGCATTTCTTTCTTCGGGCAGAGTTTTGGCGGGGACGGGTGAGGCACCTCCGCAGTGTGCCCCCGGCCGCCGCCTGGATTGAAGGCTGGCTGCGGCACGGATCTGCCACGCGGGTTCTCGCAGCAAAAACCTCCTCGTCCTCCTCCTCCTCCTCCTCCTCCTCCTTCTCCTCCTCCTCCTCCTCTCCTCCTCATTCCCCCCCTCCTCCGACGCCCGCTGAGAACGGGCACCCGGACTTCTCTCCTGGGTCAACCAACGTCGAACGTGTCCCTATTCCTATGCTTGACAGGCCAACAGGCGATTCCAATCGTAGGGATGCGGCCTCAGAAGCCGAGGGGCCCCTGAGATCGGCATCGAGATGAGGTGATGCCAATCATAGAGATAGGGGTAGGGGTACATGTCAGGCTGGTAATAGGTCGCCAAACTTCGCGCATCGCGCCCCCCGATGCGCGGCGCACGATTCTCTTCGAG